AACATTCATCTCTATAGGTTCTCTAAGTTCTGACCTCAAACATTCATTTCTATAGGTTCTCTAAGTTCTGACCTCGAACATTCATTTCTATAGGTTCTCTAAGTTCTGACCTCGAAACAGATTAAAGCACTAGGAAAAAAAGCGATTAAGATCATTTTTTAGAAAGATGGCTTTGTAAAAGCAGAGATTACATTACCTTCAGTTTTTATTAGGTTTTAGTATGTAAAAAGCTGTACAAAGACTCTCTGGAAGTGTCATAAAACTCCTGCCTGCTGTGCTGCTCAGTATCACTTGGGTGAAGATATGAATGACAAATTTATTTTAAAATTTAGAACCAGGGAAAAAGTTTGTCTTCCAGAATACATATTGGCTTCAATGTCAGATAAAAATCTCTTATCTTCCTCTTTCTTTCTTTTTTAGCTTAGTGACGGAAGTTTAAATCTAAATTTATGCTAAAATGCAAGCAAAAATCTTATTCCAGGTCCTCTATTTTCTCTACTGTGCTGATAAAATTTTAATTTTTACTTTCCTGCCTTTGTTATAAATTACAGCAAATCCTTTCCAGAATTATTTCAGTTGTGTATTTAGTTATAAATAAGTAAAAAAAAAAATACATCACAGGCAGCATCACGTAACAGAAACGCTAACAGCCACACCTGGAGTGAGAAGACAGGATTCTAGCACCACTCCCATTACCACAAGTCAGAGGATCTTAGGCCACTTTCTTAGTCTCTAACCCTTGGTTTCCCTTGAATATAAGATGAAAATAAAAATATCAGTCATGCTACCAATCAGCATGATCCTTAAAAAACAAATGTTATTACAAACGTGATAAGTACTGTAAAACAAGCACATGGTTAGAGTCTGGAAGAAAAAACATCTCAGCCATAAAAATCAAAGGGTTGGTGAGGTTTTTTTTTTTTTTTTTTTTTTTTGTTTCTTTCAGCTTTGAAATTTTAGAACTGATTTTTAGCTGGGAAGACTAGAAATAGATAGGTCTGAAAGGAAGGACAGACTTTTACAAGATTACATGTTCTAGTTTTATGTATAACATATTTAAAGATGTGCCTTGGATGGCAAGAGAAAAGATGATACCGACTTCAATCTACAGCATTTATACTCTCCCGGAAAGTTCTCGTCCAGACAAGCCTTTTGGGATCCAGCATCCAGAATTCGGCACGTTAAGTCACCAGCTCCCTCCTTGGATAGACTCCACTGCTTCCTGATCTGACCATGTCACTGATATCCCCCTTCCCCCAACACCCCCCAGGTCCACAGACACACACACTGGTCACAGAGTAATGATCAGCTTATTGACGAGGCTTTAATATCACAATGACTTTGCTCTTTAAGGAAATATTTAATCTAAAAGACAATCCATATTACTAAGGAGGTTTTTAATATTACTAGCGACTCTACTGACCTGCTTACAAATTTGTTGTTGTTAGGTGCTGTCTAGTAGATTTTCAACTCCTAGTGACCCCACGTGCAGAGCAGAACTGCCCCACAGGGTTTTCTAGGCTGTAATCTTCACGGGAGCAGACTGCCAGGCCTCTCTCCCATGGAGCCGCTGCAGGGGTTCAAACTGTCAACCTTTCAGGTTAGCAGCTGAGCACTTAACCATTGTGCCACTAGGGCTCTTTTGCTTATAAATAAAGCTCATAAAACATATTTCAGAGAAATCCGTGGCATTTTTAAAAGAAACAATAACAATCAGACAGTATTCAATTTTTGACACTGAAATAATTCTACTTAAAACAAAATTACCTGTAGTAACCCTCCTTCATCAAAACGCAGTACTTCTATTATGTTCTCTGACTGAATGAGCGCTGCAAAGGAAACACAACATATTATCACTTACAGAAACATACATTCGATTTTACTACGATCTCTGAACGCTAATCAATATAGCTCTGTATTTTAAAATACACTGCTAGGTGGTTAAAAAGAAAAATATGACTAATACTTCAGGATTTTAGCAACTATGAAATGCTTTTAAAATAAAGCAATACAATCTCATTTATAAAGCAGTTTTAACAACCTACAGGCTGTGTAAGTTACCTTCAAAATATCTATTCCTGCTACATGGCCAGAAAGCGCAAAACAGTCAAATTTAACTAGATGCAGCTCCATATTTTCACTGACAGGCCAAAAGCAAAGGTGTCGCTTTGATGACTCAGATGTCTCTGACTCACTACCTGCCCCCGGCCACCGGATCGATTCCGACCCACAGCAATCCTGTAGGGTGGATGCCCCATAGGCTGTAATCTTTACAGAAGCACCTGCCACATCTTTCTCCCATGGAGCAGCTGGTGGGTTCAATCTGCTGACCTTTCGGTTTGGAGCTGAGCACTTTAACCACTGTGCCAGCAGGGCTTCTTTGTCTGGCTCAAGCCATGGTCTTTTCAGTTGCCTGATATGCATGTGAAAGCTGGATAATGAAAAAGAGGAAGCATGGATGCTTTCGAACTGTGGAGTTGGTGAAGAATACTGAATATACCACAGACTGCCAGAAGAACCAACAAATCCGTCTTAGAAGAAATACAACCAGAATATTCCTTAGAAGGCAAGGATGGTGTGACTTTGACTTGCTTACTTTGGACACATTATCAGGAAAGATCAATTGCTAGAAAAGGACATCATGAGTCCATTGTTACGGCTATTGTGTCAATCCATCTTATGGAGGGTTTCCCTCATTTTCACTGATACTCAACTTTACCAAACATGATGTCCTTTTCTAGCCAATGAAAACCCTATGTATTACAACAGGATATTGTCTCATATAGTGCTGGAAGATGAGCACCCTAGGTTGGAAGTCACTCAAAATACACAGTGGCTGCAGCAATGGACTTGAGCATATCAATGACTCTAAAGATGTTGCAGGTCTGGGCAACGTTTTGTTCTGTTGTACGTGGGGTCACCGTGAGTTGGAGCCAACTCCATGGCAAGTAACAATAATTCACAATCACTCAAAACTGGACATAAGCAAGATGTGCCTCAAGAGGTGAATGGATAAACTGTAGTACATCCATACATGGAATCTTACTCATCATAAAAAGAAAAAGGCTACATTTTACATGACATTTTGGAAAAGGCAAAACTATAAGACAGTAACAAGATCAGCAGCTGCCAGGGACTCGGAGAAGGAGAAAGGGCTGAACAGGCAAAGCACGGGAAATTTTGGGGGCGGTAAAACTATTCTGTGTAATAGTGTAACTGTGGACACACAACACTATGCATTTGTGAAAATCTATAGAATTATAGAGCACAAAGAGTGAACCTTTACATATGCAAATTTAAAAGTCATTTGGGAGGTCAGAGGACCTAGGGACCGAATGCAGAACATGACACACCAATCTAACTGCATTACAAATGTATGAAACCCCCTCACTGAGAAAGTGGGGCAAAGGTGCTGACCTAAGTAACTCTGGAAATGAGCACAACACAGCACAACAATCTAACTATATTACAAATGTATGAAACCCCCTCACTGAGAAAGTGGGGCAAAGGTGCTGACCTAAGTAACTCTGGAAATGAGCAGAATATGTGAGATTAAAGGCAAAAGAAACTGTACATAAACACTGTACAGCTAATCTAGTTAATAACATTATTTCTTACAGGTGTTCAGGTGAACAATTCTGATGCTGCTATACATGTATACTGGAACTGAAAGAGTAAGTAAATGGATGCTAGCTGGTGGGAGTCAGGTTTTCACTGCTGGAGGGGGAATTTACACACAATCAAGCGGAGGAGGCTAGGATGAGAACTGGAGACATCAATATGAACTCATGTCTAACTTAATACAAACTGTTACATATAGAAATATTTATAGATACGTATATGTTATTGTTGTTAGATGCCACCCAGTCGATTTCAACTCACAGTGACCCCACGTGACAGAGTAGAAATGCCCCATAGGGTTTTCTAGGCTATAATCTTTACAGGAGCTACTCACCAGGTCCTTCTCCCATGGAGGCAGTGAATAGGTTCGGACCACCAACCTTTCGATTAGCAGCCAAGCGCTCAACTATTGTGCCACCAGGGCTCCTTAAACCAAAAAATCTGTTGTCATGGGGTCGATGTCGACTTAGATATGAATACATACATGGTTTAACATACATGCATGTATTTTCTTTCTCTGTCAGCTGAGAGAGCCTAGAAGCAATAACATCCCAGTAGCAACAAGCACATCTTGCACCAAGATCTTGGTTTCTAATATTATTCTCTAATAAAAGGAACTAGGGCTCCTTGAAAAAAGTGGTCCATTCCAGGACTGGAGCAGGAAATATCTAAGATGCGCCTGGGGCACCTTGTCATGACAGAAAGTTAAGAAAGTCCTCAAAAAACAAACAAACAAAATATAAAACCTACATTGATGACAGTATGTCAACGGGATATAAGAGCCAACAGAAAGAGCTCCCCAGGCCAAAGCTGTAACAATTGGAGGAAAAACTAAAGTGGCACTAGATTATAACCCAAAGTATAAAATATATATCCAAGAATCCATACTCATATAAATGACTGACTGAATAAATAAATAATTGGGGCAGAAGAGACAAATACTCCATGCAAAAGAATTCCAAATTATTTACATAGATACTCTGCTATCAACGAACTGGAGCACAACTCCCCACTCCTAATATTGTGGGCTCTGTATAGTGACTTCCATCCTAAGAGTATACTACGGTAAGGAGGAAAAAAGAAGTAACTACGGTGGAGAAAGCTGACAGACACTACGCTAGCCAGGTGATCAAGGTCAACATCAGTAGTGAAGTCATGCTCACAGTATGTACCTTGGATATGATGTGATCAGAATGGCACTCTGTTTGATCTTCTTCCCCTAATCCCGTACCTCAGTCATGAGAAAAGTATCAGATAAATCCCAATTAAGAGATATTCTACAAAATACCTAACCAGTACTCTTCAGAACTGTCACGGTCACCAAAAACAAGGCAAATCTGAGAAACTGTCACAGCCAAGAGGTGCCTTAGGAGACATGACAACTAAATGCAATGTGGTATCCTGGATGGCATCCTAGAATAGGAAAACGACATTGCTAAGAAAATCTGAATCAAACATGGACTTTAGTTAATATACTATATCAATGCTGGTCACACATTCCATAAAAATGTCCTATACTAATGTCAGACAAATAAAAGGGGAAACGGTGTGAGACACATGGGAACTCTGTACTATCTTCACAGTTTTTCTGTAACTATAGAAACCTTCTTTAAAAAACATGAAACAGCGACATTTCATTTGGCTCAGTACAGCAGTCATCAACTCTGTGTAATTTCTTAGGAAATTCAGGGAAGAAGCTTGGTGTTACTCCTGTCTGTGTACCTGGCTTTTCCGGATGGAGAAAGCAGAAAGTCAAGCAGCAGAGTGAGAGAGTAGTTAATGAGATTACTTGACCTAATTAGATGGTGTTCTCCTGCCTAACAAGCATCCTTTCCCCCTTATTCTAGTAACAACATACTGATTTTACTTTGGGAAACCCCCTTCCTCCATTTCCTATGTCTCTCTGTCAACCACAGCACCTACCTGCCCCACTTCTCCCTATCCCCCACCAGTTCTTAATAGAGAGGAAAACATTCAATGAATACTGAATGCATGAATGAAATACTACCTTATTGCTCAGGTATGCATTGGTATTTGCGTTCATTGATGCAAACCACTCTTTTTAGTTATGGT